CTGACTGACATAGTTGGGAAACAAATAACAGATTATGAGCTTTGTTTTGGCTCCCAAAAGACTCTAAAATTACTTTAATTATAAATTAACCAAAAATATAAGGGCACAAAAAGTTATTCTGTTGGCTAATTATCTCCATGGGCTAAGTAAACTGTGCTGTCTCAGCCCTGAGAGAAATGAACAAAATCAATCAATTGCTTCTCTACCAATCCCCCAGTGTATGGTCTCAGTTAAAATGAGAGTATACACTTTATTACTGCGCACCTGGATTTTATTCCATTCTCCTAAAACATCCATGTAAGTGGAGTCTTGATTGAATTTTCTCTTTATGATATAGAAGCTGTTGCACACACAGCCAACTCCTATTACTGCCCATTGCTGAAAGGAACGATCTTCTACAAATAGGTTTTTAAATTCACTTGAGATCACTTATGGAGTGTCGACTATGTGTCAGACACTCTATTAAGCATAGATGCAGCAGAGAAACACTATCAGATCAGTCTAGCAGTGTAATATATAAACTGATAGAAGATACTATGGAAGTATTTTGCTCATGGTATAAATTAAGAGCTGTGTCAGTAATCCAGGAGGAATAATACCTCCCCTGGGAGAAACTGGAGACAATGCTGAAGGTGATGTTTGACCTTGGTCTTGAGGGATGAGAGGAAATTTGCCCAGTGAAGAGGGGAAAGGGCAGAGGGAATAGCATGGCTCATCAAAATGCTTGGCATATTTGAGAAATGATGAAAGGGGTTGTGTAGCTACAGCTCAGGTTTTGTGAGAAAGGAGGCAGATGGAGGATGGTTAGATTGGAGCTGGAGCATGGGGAGGCTTGCTATGCCACACTGAGTTGGTAATCACCCCTATAGGTGGTAGGAGGGCACAGAGCATAATGTATGAGTTACTGCCCGGGTGGTGTTCTTTTAAAGGAACTTGAAATTGTGTGGAGGAAATGTGTGACATGGGAACTGAGTAAGGAGAAGCAAGTAGGGTGACAGGACATTTTGCACTGCTACAACAGAATACCTGACACTGGATAATTTATAATGAATAAGAGATTTATTTCTTACAGTTCTGGAGGCTGGAGGTTACAGGACTGTATCTGGTCAGGACCTTCTTGCTGCATATTCCTTCCTGGAAGGCAGAAGCTCCAGAGCACATAGGTACATATGCATGAAAGAGAGAGAGAGAGTGAGAGCAAGAGTAGGAGGGAAAGAGGAAAGGGGACCAAACTCAACCTTTCAGGAACCCACTCCTGCAAATACTAACCCACTTCCATGATCAGGCATTCATTCATTCATGAGGGTGGAGTCCTATGATCTATTTGCTTTTGCTTTTTAAAAAAAATTAATTAATTCATACATGACAATAGTGGAATGCATTTCATTCATAATTATCCATTCACAGCACAATTTTTCATAACTCTGCATATAAAGTATGTTCACAGCAAATTATGCCATTATACATGAGCTCTCTTATTGATTTTTTTGCATTACAATTATTAATACACCTTTTTTAATATTTATTTTTTAGTTTTAGGTGGACACAAAATYTCTATTTTATTTTTATGTGGTGCTGAGAATCGAACTCAGTGCCCCACGCATGCTAGTCGAGAGTGCTACCTCTTGAGCCACATCCCCAGCCCCTTAATACACCTTTATACCACAATTTATCATATCTCTAATGTTGTGCTGGGTATCCAACTCAGAGCCTTGTTGGTGGTAAGCATGAGTTCTCTTACTGAGCTGCATCCCCAGTGCATTCTGTTCATCTT